TCAGTGAAGGATTGGGGTGACAGGACACTGGGAGGGCGTTGGGGGTCAATGGGGGGAGTCAGTGAAGCAGAGATGGGGTGGAGGGAGGGAGGAGTTAGTGGGGAGGGGAGCAGAGGGGCGTGGTCTCCGCCAGGATTCTCGGGTCGCTCCTGTCGGGAGGGGCGGGGCGGGAGGGGGCGTGGCTCCGGCTGGGTGCCCCGGTCTCTCTCAGGAGCAGCAGGGGGAGCGCCTCAGCCTAGCTCCCCCGGTCTCTCTCTCTCTCTCAGAAGGGGAGGGGGAAGGGGAGGGCAGGGGGCGTGGCTCCGCCTGGCTCCCACGTCCCCTCGCTCGCGCGCTCTCTCTGCCTCTCTCCTCCTTCACAGGGTGACACGTCTGCAGGGTGAGTGAGTGGCATTGGCAGACTGTCAATCCCTCACCAAAGCGGCCATCAAACAACATAAAACACACACAGTCACTGGGCTGCTGGGCTCATAAATTCCAGCTGGCTGATATTTTTGCACATTGCTTTGCAGAGAGTGTGTAATTAATTTTTTTACAGTTCTTTCCCCTTTATTTCCGCTCTTTTCTTTGCACAAGTTCAAACTTTTGATAGCTGCAATTTTGCCCCCATTGTACAGACTTGGGATCATTTGTTATTTTTTGGGGGGGAGGGCAATTAATTTTTTCATCTGTGTTTGTGTTTTCTTGGGCTTTTTTTAATGTTGCAATTTGGGGATGGGGGTGTTTGCTTGGTTTGTTGTGGTTTTTGCTGTTTGCCACCCTCCTAACTTTTTAAGGATTTGAAAGCAAGTTTTTTGTGTTTTTTTTTTTTTAATTTGTCTTTTTTTTTTGCGAAGAAGATTTTTTTTGGACAAGTGGAGGAAAGACATAAAAAGCAACAATAAAAATAAAAAAGAAGAAGAGAGAAAGAAAAAAGCTTTGAAGGAAGATTGTACGAGGGAGAGAAAACTGCAAAGAAACCTCATCAACTCATTTATTCAAGCCACAAATATCATAATTATGATGAAAGAAGATTGTAACTAAAGAAGGGAGTGATTTACTGCATTGGAAAGAAGAGAGTGGAATAAACAACTGAGATCCGGTGAAATACTAAATACTGATTTTTTTTTTAATTTGCGATAGCAAAATAACAACAAACAGGAACTGAAATTGACTACAAGAGATTTATTTGCATTTTCTTTTCTAAGCACAAACCTCCTTCCTCTGATTGTGAGGCTGTTTTCGCCGTTTCTCCTGCTGCTATCTCTGAAAGTGCATTGATTGGGCTGCGGTAGGAGGTATGGATGATCAGTCCAGGATGTTGCAGACTCTGGCCGGTGTGAACCTGGCTGGCCACTCGGTGCAGGGGGGGATGGCTCTGCCTCCTCCCCATGGACATGAAGGGGCAGACGGCGACGGCAGAAAGCAGGACATCGGAGACATCCTCCATCAGATCATGACCATCACTGACCAAAGCCTGGATGAGGCACAAGCAAAGTTGGTTTCGTCTAATTAAACCTTGTCTTTTTGTGTGTGTGTGTGGTTTTTGTTTCTCTCCCTCCTGCTCCTCTGCAGAGACCGGGCGTCTCACAATTAGAGCAACTTAATACTGTAGGAGAAATTGCAATCAGCAAAGGCAAAATCAAAGTTGCTATTAATTATTTGTAAAATATAAATATGTGATGCTTGTACCATTGTTTTCTGTTCCATTTTATTTACACCTATGCGTGGAAGGCTGTTGCTCAGATATTCCCATTTCCATGTCCATGTCTTTAGACACTATCTGGTTGACACTCATTTAAAAATCACCATCCCGCAATATTTGTTCTTCGGGAGACTTTGATTTCTTGTTAAGAAGTGTAACTTTTTTTCTTTCCTTCTCTCCTGCCCCTGAAGTGGTGGCAGATGAATTACAAAGCTGACAAGATATTGCTTCAGGGAGAAAACCCTCAATGTTTGAAATCACAGTAAATACAAAACAAAGAATATGAACTCTGGAAGTTCTCCCCTGTAACAAATCAGTTCTAATGTAGAGGAATGGAAAGTACTCGAGACAGGCTTTGATTTATACACTTAGTATACCAGTGAATTTACATAAAGCTAATTTGACTTAAAAATAAACAGATGAAAAGAAACCTTTTAAACATGGCTTTAAAACCAAACTTCTGTGAGTGTCACAAGTCTGCAAGTGGCAGGCAGGCTGGGGCTACCTGGATCTTTTACTTGTCACCAAGTCCCTGCTTTGGTGATAAATGAGAGAAGGCATTTGAAACTCCCTTTTATTTGCGCCTCTTGTCCCTGAATTTAAATATCCTCACATTTCTTCTTAATGTTTGCTACTTTGCACACAATATGATTATGTTGCCTGGTAGTCTACAGGGCAAATATGTACCTCCCCCACTCGCAGCCAAAAGCTGTAGCCAAAGATTCCTTGTCACTTGTAATTAACTTTGCTTCCTATTACTTTCCATGGACTATATTAACAGTAAAATGCAGAGCCACAATTAAATCATTTTAGTGTGGAAAGACGCCATATTATCAAATAGCTTTTGTTAATACACTTGTTTTTTCCTATCTGTTTTTCAGAAAGCATGCACTGAACTGCCACCGAATGAAGCCTGCTCTGTTCAGTGTCCTGTGTGAAATCAAAGAGAAAACAGGTAAGAGACCAGGAGTAACGTGGCTTTAAATCGAACTCCAAATAGGTAAACATTGCACTACTTCTCCAAGCTTAGATTCTGCGAGCTGCTTTAGGCGCCGCAGCCATCTTTGATCATTGCCTCCTTTCCTGCTTCAGATCTTGGGAGGGAAGAGGAGGGGAGGGGGAGAATGTAATAAATCTGGAGCAAATTTTACAATTCATAATCCCGATGTAAAATGAAATGTAGATGAAAATGATCGTGTGTCACCGTCCACAGAGTAAATTCCCCCTCTGGCTGCAATCAGGGAAGTAACACCGAGCAACCAGGCTCTCTCCCCCTCTCTCTGTCTTGTTTGTATGTCAATTTCTTAAAGGAGCAATGTGAGACTGGAGAAGCCAATTGCAATGCAGAGTAGAGAGCAAGGGAAAAAACATAGCCGGCAACTTTCTGTTTGACTCGGGCCACCTTATTGTTTCTCTGTGCAATTAGCAGAATATATGTTATTGGACACATTCAGTTGACAGATTCAAACTAGTACATTATGTAGGAAATTAACTGTAGTCTTAAGAAATGCTAAAGGATGTGTGTGTATCTGTGTATAAATATGTCCACACATGTTCACATACATACGGATGTACGGTGTTGTATATAATGCATTTATTTTGATATACATTTACATTGTGAGGGTTATATATGTACACGAGTATTTCTGTCTGTAGATATTGCTATTCATATCCATATATCTGTAGACAAAAAATTATACCAAAAAACACCCCTGAAGTTTTCTAGAAGATGTATTTCAATAATATGGACTAAAAAAGGGTAGAAGCAAGTTAGTAGCATATACTTTTATATATTTATAGTTAAGATTTTGAAAAGAGCATTTCAGGTGGTAACAAAATGTAATACCCATTTTAACAGTGTATTATTTAGAATTCTAGTTCTTGAGCTTGTTCTAAACATTCAGGTTAAAAGTGCATTAGGGGTTTAACCTAGATATATAATATTTTTCTTATAACAATAACACTTACCATTTATATAGCACTTTTCATCTTTCAAGTGCTGTACAAACATTAATCTCTCTCTATATATAATGTGCTATACAAAATATTTCTTCATATAATACAGAACATGTTAAAGGGATCAGTAAACTTTGTAAGCATTAACACATCTAAATATACCATTCTGTCTGGATGCATCACATTTTAAGAGAAAACAGAACAAAAATGCTGTTGATGCTGAGGATACAAGAGCATTAACAACTAGACTGTACAGAGTGAAGTTAAGAGTGTAAAAGTGGTAGAATGCTTTCTGCCAATATTTGTTTGTAGGGAGCACAGCAAAGTCTTAATTTTTTTTGATGCAATAATATTTTAAACACCAGAATTTTTCTTCCCAAAAGTGTTGACAAACTAATTTTGTTAAGATATATTGTTAAGACACATTGAAACTTTATAACAGCTTGTGTGTATGTTCTTTGACCCCACTGACTTTAAGTGGAGAAAAATTAGTCACTTTTTAGAGGGGAGGATTTTGAAAAGTATTGTATGTGATATTATGAGAAGCGAGAGCATTATTAAGGTCTGACTAACTTTAAAAAAAAAATCTGTATGCTACCTTTTTAGTTATTCTTGAAAATTATAGTTCTCAATTGCAGTCTGAAAACAAAAAAAATACATATGACTACAGAATAAGACATCAAACATTAAATCACAGTGAATCTTAACTAAGAAACCCAAAAGTGCATAGTTCTCAGTAAATTATGCTGCTTAATGTCCAAAGGTTTCCTTGCTATCAGGACTCCACTTCAGTTTCTGCTGACAGCTAAGCACTGGGGTATTGACTGTGTTGTGAATATTAAGATTGATTCTGCTTTATATTGCATTATATTGCTCTGGATAAGGGGAATGATTTCCCCCCCTCCCTACGCCACACACATACACCCTTTGTGCCTTGATCACAGTTAACCCCTCCCCCCCCGCTTTGGTTTATATTTGTTTTCTTGTCTTTTTCTAAACTTTTTGCCCAGCCAGCTCCAGAGCTAACCAAGCAACCTGCCTTTGATGTTTAGACATTTTGCAGCAGGCAGATTTCAATTAAGAAGGCGTAGGTCCTGCGATCACTTATTTGCACAGGGCTTAGCCTCACTGCTTTGAAAGGAAAGTATAGTCAACCACATGTCAGAGGTGAGTTGAGAATTAAAAACAAGTCTTTTCAGAGACAGGGATTACTGGCAGTGGGTGCTTGGTAAGGCCATTGCTGTTTCAGAAGCGAGAAGGAAACTGACAAGGGAAGAGATTTTGTGATTTCAGATGTTTCTGGGGATTTCAGTGATAATTTGTAAATTGAGATCTTGCTTTTGTGTCTTGACTTGTGGAGCCAAGTTTGCAAGTTATCTCTTTTGTAAAATAGCTAAGAGCCAACAAAGAGTGAAGGCGTCCGTCTGGCCAAAGGCGAGATCCTGCCAGCCCCAGCAACTGGGAAGGGATAGGATTATGCACTGAGTGATTGATGGAGGTAAATCCACCCCCCTCCAAACTGTTCCCATAGGGGGATATTCACTCAGGATCTCCCAGTTGAGATTAAATGACTGTATAGACATTAGTAAGTGTTACCAAAGCAAAGCAAATGTGAAAGTAATTTCTAGCATATTTTCTCTGTTCTGTTTCAATGAGAAAAAAACTGCAAATACTCATCTATTGCCAAACAATTCTGAATTTGTAGGGTAAACAGTTTGGGATGCAATTTAAGTAGGGGTTCTCCCCCATTGGTCTTCACTGCCTTTTGCTCAAAATAATTTAATCAAGATGCAATTGGATTGTGCCTCAATACTTAATTATTTGTAATCTGAGGAAAAGTTTACCTTGGTGTTAGTAATGGAAATTACTGTCATGGTTTATCCCTACCTAGTTTAAGGAGACAGAAAGAATCTAGCCTCTGCATAAAGTGTAATTTCAGTCAAGTCTTTTCAGAAATAAGGAAGTAAGTAATGCAACTGTGCAGACATTTTTATATTTAATTGCATTCATTTTTAATACTTTGCCGGCGGATCATTATTGTTCAGCATAGCTAGTGAGGACTTTGCTAGACTGGTAGAAAGAGAATGTTTAGGGGAAACCCTGATTTCAGGTGAATTAACCATATCAGATGTTGGTGGATCTCAAAATACATTTCCTCAGGGGTTAGTAGATGCATTATGTTTATTAAAGATTTTTCACTCTGCCTTATTTAGAACTAGGTAGCTGAAGAGTTTTTCTGTGAGATATTTCATCATGTTCAAAGTAATTAATTACAGAATCTAATCTGACATTTATTTTTACATTTAAAAAAATACTGTGTTCTGTATAAATCAACTTTAAAACAAACAAACAAATAAACATATATTGGTATGTGCATTCCTATAGGTAGCCACCGGGTAGCAGGTTTTCATAAAGATGACTAACTGCCACTTATTTATTTAATTAATACAAAGAAAATTGAGCCCCAAAGTTTTACTGAAGCCCCTCTAGTAAAATAGGAAGATAAGAAAAATGGGTCTGTCTAGTGGCCGCGTTATGTTACATTTTTATCTGTATCTGTTCTAATAGATGTCACTCCAGAATCTTAAGTTGTATGCTTAATGTGGAGTCACATCTGTTGCATACCTTTGTATCAATCTTTCTGTCCTCCTATCGATATCATAGTCTGATGTATGTATGTCATTTTGTATGTACATTGTTTACTGTTAAGAAAAGCTTAGATTCAGAATCTGATTATCCTTACACTTTAGTAAATTTCTATACCTGAAGTACTACATTTACGTATGCAAATATAACTGAAAATATATTAATTCTGATGTTCTTAAAAAATGGTTAGGGAATTGCAGTTATTTCCCAGTGGAATTCCATATTATTGAGCTGTACTGATAGATGATCTGTGCCATCATAGTTTCTTGCCTTTTTATGTTGTTTTTAAAAATTATGTTAAAAAAAATCCAAACAATGACAGCTGCCAACCAAACCCTAATTTACTGTCACCACAAACCCTAAATAGCATTCATTTACTAGTAATGCCTAATGGCATACATGATGGTTTGCCAGATTTGTGGCCTTTCTGAGGCTTATAAGCAGGACTGACTTGGGAAGATCATAAAACTTAATGAACTTCTCGACTGCAGGAGGTGTCCGCAGGGGAAGAGAAAGGCCTGCTTGGCTGGTTGGGCTGGTTGAACTATTTTTTATGTCTAAAGAGAGAGGGGGGAAAATGATGATTAAAAATGTTCTGCCTTCATGCAGAGTTTTGTTTTGAAGGATGAAAAGATTTTTAGATATGGTAAACAGATGAATAGTGAAGTTAACAATGAGATTAATTTCTTGCTATTCGCCATGTAAGCTGAAACCTTTATTTTTATTGCTACAACTGTAACTAGCCATCCATCGCCATTCTGATGATTAAAGGGCTATCTCATGCCCTCACTCCACAGCAAAACTCGTACATGGCCCAATTCTTTGGAGGTTTTCAGGAACACCTCTAAGGATTTCACAGTATATCAGCCAAAGTAGCCATTATATAACCAGCATTGGAAAGGCTTCATATTTTCCCCCTCTTGCAGTAAGAATTTGAAAATATCAACCCCTCCCTCAATTTGGATCTTTTTAACTGAACTGCAGGATTATTTTCTTACATTAAATTCATTTTAACTTTTCAGTATTTGAAAACTATCATATAATGCCAACAATTTGCAATAAAATAAAACAACCCCTAATTAAATGTTAAAAGATAAATGTGGAACAGTATAATAACATTGTTATAATTTATCTGTTAGCTATTTTTAAAATATGAAATTGCAATGTTATTCAATTGAGATATTTAAAAAGAATAGGAATATGCAGTCCTCATATGTCCTTATCAAGCCCTTTAGTATAATTTTTAATTTACTTTGAGTAGGTTAGAAAATGAACAATGTGGATTAAAAATCTACATCTTTATTTTCGTGTGGGATTTTTTTCTTTTAATATTCAGAATTTTAAGGAATAATC